AGAGCAAAAGCATCTCCTCCTGTCTTACACACTAGCATGGTTGTCCTGACTAGTTAGTTTGAGTTGAGACAAGTTGAGTTGACTAGGTTGAGTCTCGCTAAGTGATAGTTCCCTATCTAGTGAGGGAAGAGCAAGTGTTGCCTCGGTTGGGGGTCATCTCCCCAAAACTGTCAGTCCGGAGCCTCATATAAAAATAGGAATAGAGCCCAAATGGCCTCGTAGCTGGGAGGAATGCCAGTGTGCAGAGCCAAGAGGAGAAGCAGGACGTGTTGCCTCTAGTGCTTGTGCCGCAGGTAACGATGTTCTCAAGGTATCTGAGACAGAGGTCTTCCAAATGGAGCTGCTTCTTGGCTAAATACTGTGAAAGTGGAAAAATAATAATAATAATCTGTGGCTATGGGGAGACATACTCCTTGAGGACAGGCAGGAATTGTCCAGCATAGCTCGGGTGAAGAGAGGAGGTGCAAAAAGATTTTAAGAAGAGTTTTCCTGCCAGGGAGAGCTATTAGGCACTGGAATTATTTCCTCAATGAAAGTAGAGGAAGGCAATTCCTTCAGACATTTAATAATAGATTGGGCAAAGAATTAGGAAATATAAAGAAGAATCCTGTACTGGCAGGTAATTGAGTTAATCAGAACTAGTAAGACTTAAACTTTTCTCTTTTTTTAGGATAATTTAGAGTCATCTGCAATAGTTATTTCATTAATTTGCAGTCCTTTTTCACGGCAGTCCAATGCTCAGGACTAAGGCAGAACAGCTCTGTATTAAAAAAACACAAAGCCAGTAACTGTTGAGAACACTGAGGCTGCGCGGTGCCAGCACGGCGAGATTTCATGGGCTTGCATAAAATACACAAGCAAGTTTGCAAGCAGGCCACAAAAGCCAGAGTGGAAGAGAAGAGGTGGAAGAAGCCAAATTTTGATCTGGAAAATAAAAAGCTAAAAGCAAGGATGAAGAACCAGGGGATTGGATGGGATGGGGTCCTGGAGAGGACTCCATCTTGGCAGCATCCATGGAAAATAAAAGTAGAGAGTAAATACTGCTCTAAGAACAGCCCGTGATCAAATACCAGACTAGCTAATTTGTACTTCAGGGGCTACAAGAGAGGATGCTAACTGTAGTCAATGGCTGCGGTACCTTGCAACACATTTTGTGTTCTTGGACACGCAGCAAGTACTAAATCATGGGCATCCGGCTCAGACTTGAACTAGGGTGTAGACTGCAGCCCCAGACTGAGGAAGTGAACAAGGGAAGGGCAGACACCTCGTGGCACGGCAGTGTCTGGGTTGTCCGGCGGGGGAATAAGCCAGGGCCTTTTTTTTCCCTCTTACCGTTCATCCTGAACAGCACAGCAAGTGCCAGTTTTTATTCYTCCATCCTTCCTCCGTACCCTTCTTTGACTTCATTTTTAAACTCAAATGCAGAACATGCTAAAATTACTGCAGCGAGGGTCATTATCATTATTGCACCAGGGATCGTTAAGCAGTTATCTGCTGGGCACAGTCCCCTGGGGTCAGGAGGGACCACTTGGGTCCTGCGTGGTGGCCACAGACCACATTGATGCTGCTGCTCCTGGAGCCCCATCTCCGTCTSCTGCCACCAGCCCTGGCCACGTGATTGTCCTTGGACCTAAGAGGGGGGAGAATGGTCCCTAAAACAAAGTTGAAAAAGAAAGAAATAGAAAATCCTCAAATGATGTCCTCAGTGTAAATTTAATCAGTACCTCAGATGCAGTGAGGCTTAGTGCCTTTTCAAAAACATAATGGCATTTTGCATTATCTCTCGCTCTGATTCAGCAGCCGTTACCTGTCATGAATAATAAGTGCTCCCTGTCGTCATTCCCTGAAGGCCGGAGGTGCTGTGCAGAGCCTGCAGCTCTTGTCCCCGGAATGCCAGGGATGCAGGGATGGTGCTTGGCATCAGGTGCTGCTGGGATGGGCAGAGCTGCAGACACACACTCAAACTCACTGGCTTGACCACCGCAGCCATTTGACAGCTCGGGATTGTCTTTAAAGATAGCAGAATCCGGCCAACAATAGTTGGGAGCAGTGGGAATGCAGGGTATCCTTCATCCCAGGTTCAGGCTCCAAGACGCAGAGGGTCTGTGTCCATTCCTGAGGCCAGGGCACAGAGAGGAGGGATTGCAAGTGTAGAATAAGGACAAAGAAGTATTGCCCAAGTGCATGTTTCCTCGCAAGGTATCTGAACAGACTGGGATATAACTTGGCTCAAGAGAAAAAAACACCATCAAGGGAAAGAAAGCAAAATCTCCGAATTTTGATCTTTGCATTAGGAATTGAAAAGACTTTCTGGAAAAGTCACTAACTTAGTATCATGCTATACCACTCACAGACTCCCTCAAAATCTAATTTATACAAAAAGCTGATATTACCATTAGATTTAAAATACATCTAGATTAATATCCATCAGCAAGTTRAACTGGAAACGTATTTATGTAAGAACAAAAGAGAGAGAAATGGAATTTTARATGCCAAAAAACAAAAACAAAAACACGTACAATGGGTTTTGGAGCTAAACAATGGTTGGGAACCCGAATTGGCAGCCATCAAGTTCGAGTATTTGATCTTCACAGCTTGACGTCAGGAATGGCTTTTAAATCTCTTGGCTGGCAAATATATTTGGCTGGCGCATTGTTTAACATTTGAGGCACTTATAGATATTGTGGTTATGAAGTTGATCAAACACGCACGGCATTATTTGTAGGAAAAACATTTACCTTACTGCAGAGGTTTGAGTGTGAGGCAGAGATTGACAACTGCGGTGAATTTAGAGTGATGAAGGAAGAAGAAAGTACTTATTCTTATCCAGAAAGTTACTGGCATCCATCGGAGCGGGGTTGGTGGAAAGCACCACCATGGATGGACAGATGATTGGCCAGCAGGTTTCAAACTCCAGCCTTTTCCATCCACCTCTCTCTGCTTTGTGGTCTATGTCCCTGCTCTGATGGCCTCTGAGGTATCTTCAAACTTGTCTGTCAGTGTCCTAAGTTGCAAATAGATGGGGCAACCAGAACTCCAAATGTTCTTGAGGATGCTCAGCTCTGCTCAGCCTCTACCTTTCCTGCCTCTCTGAACACAAATTTCTCTCGCGAAACACAGGAAGAAACACTCATGTTTCAAAAGGAATATCTGACTTTTTCCTCTTCAGATTTTTCGCCTTTTTTTTTTCTCAATATTTTCTACTCTTCAAGCAAGAAGAGAAGTCTAAGTGTGTGGAGAGAGGGCAGCTGCTTTGCSTGGGTTCAGCTACAAGCTGACGCTGCTTCGCTGAATCATAACGGAGACCAAGATTGCCTTTCACTCACTTCCAGCACCCAAAATCTCTTCCTGGAAATACTTCATTTTAAGATGAACTAGCGCATTTTGAGAATGGCTGCTATTACTTTGCAGTAAATAAAAGCTCTTAGTGAACCATTGGCGGGGGCTTTTTCCTAGAGTTTGGAAGAAACAGGCAAGACAAGGAGACTATTCCTGTCCCTGCAGAAGGACCTAGCCACTGGTGAGCACCAGCAGGTTGACCCAGAAGAGCAACATTGGGAAAGCATCAGTTGGCAATTACACTTGTATTAGACATCAAAGAATCCAGCAGGCTAAAAAGTCATCAAAAGCCATCAACCTTCAATACTTCCCTTCCCAGAAAAACTTCTATTTTCAAGTAACTTTCAAAGTGCTGAATTTATGTGGGAAAAACAGCAGCTTTCTTTTGTTTGAAAGTTGGTTTCTAGCACATTGAATAAATGAGCTCTACAGACTCCAAAGCAAGAAGGCAAATGAAAAGCCCCAATTTTTCTGTGTTTTTACTAAAAATAAGGAAGGTTTGAAGCCAGTCCCAGGAGTCTGGGGGTGTTGACTCATGACTTCTGAATACTTGGGAAAGCTGGTAACACAGACTACCCAAAAAGGGAGCCAGGGTATTACCGCATGAGCTGAATAACTAATGGATAGTGTTTAAATTGCAAAGGTCTTGCATACCGGGAGCTATTGCTGAGAAAACGTATGAATAACTTTGAATAACAAACCCATTTGAGAATCCGACAATTTGTGGACAAGCGCTGAACGAAATGAGCTCCAAAGTAACCCGGTGCCGAGTCTCGGGATCGGCAAAGGATATGCAAAATGCTCTTTCATGTTATTATTGGACTGGGCCAGACGTCCAGACACGTTGAGGCAGTCAAGCTCGCTGTCAGCTCCGCCGTAAATTCACATGGAATTTTGGTGCTATCTCAGAGCGGCAATATTGGCTGAAGGTGTTTCCATTCCAGAACCTTGTCCTGGGGCACATTGGTATATTTTGCACGGTTTTGTGTAGCACTGAGCTTTCTGAATGACCGTAACCTCACAAATCTTTTTTTGGCTGTTGGTCTCCCAGACGGCTCCAGCTCTGCAGTCTCACTCCTGCCGGCCACGCTTAGCACCAGGCTGCTGCCAGTGGATGCTACTGTGCTATTTATAAACCCTGCGCTACGTACAGGTATTTATGGCACTGAATAGGGTCAGGAAGAACAAAAAAAAAWWAAWAAATAAAAGAAGCAARAAGGGGCTCACTCCATTTTTATTAGTCAAGTTCACAGCCAACCATATGGCCACAAACTGGAAGCTGCCAGCTCAGACAACTGGAACAACATCACTTTCTGTATCCTGCAAAAGCCATTATATTGGGTTATATATGGGGAGATATATATATATATATATATATATATATATAAAAAACTCAGGGTATATATCCTCAGAGCCAGGTGTCAGATATTTAATTAATGATACCAATTTCCTCCTGGAGATCCCTGGGTCACTCTTTTGCCTGATCCCTGTTAATAACAGGAGGCCCCTGGGTTTCTTGACACACATGCCTCCCAAAGAGCACACCCACTCACCCCCCAATCCCTCCCAATGGGCCCTTATGCAGAAAGGCAGGTTTCTCTGCTTAAATAAATCATGTTAATGAAGATACAGACATGGTCCTGAGTGAAAGGGGAAGGACCTACAGCTGGGTATGCAGTTGCTAATGGAGAGGCTGCAGCTCCCTGAATCCCTGGCCAAGCAGGTAAGGTACCTGGGGATCTTCTGGAGACTTTGAGTGGCTTCTGCTTTGCTGTATTCTGCTGTGCATCCTTGCAGTCATTGTCTGGCAATGCTGTTTTTCTTGGAGATTTGCAATAGCAAAGGCTTTAGGTGCATGCATTAAAGCAGCATCTCCTCAGGCTCCCTAAACAWCTGGTGCAAAACAAAATGTACGTGTTTCCAGGGTTAAAACAACCTTCGTGTTTCCCAGGCATACCCTTGCTTCCTCTACAAGGGGCAAAATAGCCAATCTTCCCATTCTGATCATTTTCATTTGTGCACAGTGACCACTGCTTTAGTGGGAGCTAGTCCCCGTGCCTGCTGCCTGTTTTCTGCCTGCAAGGCCCCAGTTCTTTGCTGGATTGTGGTTTGSTTAAATCTCATCACCTTCACTGTACGCAGAACTCGTTGCAACCAGGCCCTTAATATCCCCTCACCTCTACGAGAAAGAGGTGGCAGGTTGGCAGAGCTAATATTTTGTAAAATAAAACTGTATAAATTCCAGCTGTTACCCTGTGATCCGTCCCCTTTGGCAAAGCAAAGATGTGTGGTTCTTCTTCCGGGTTCACTTGATTTCAGTACTAAAATATGCCACTTTTGCAGTAGAATACACACCTATGGTTCTGCAGAGTTCCTTATATCTACTTCAGACCTCACAGTCTCTTATTTTAGTACCTTTTTTTTCTTCTATTGGGGTATTAATGGTTGGTGACCACAGAAATGGCAAGGACTAGGYCTGGAGCCGGCCAGTAGGACAGAGTGGGTTCTCTTCAGAGATTATTTTATGTCCCAAACCCATATTTATTCTCCAGGGACCACCTGCCTTATGGAATGGGTAGGGCAAGAGGCAATTTGGCAGTAGAGACTGATAGTTTGGGGTGCCCTGAGAAGACATACGTGGAAATGATGGGGTCTCCAACAAGAAGAGCAAGAGGGCGATATATGTAGAATARAAGTGATCAGTGAAGAGGGAGAAAGGAGGGAGGCCCAGCAGCACTGAAGTGAAGGAGAAGAGAAAATGGGAGCTCGGAGGCATGGGGTTAGTCTAGCAAAACCTCTGCCAGCCAAAACAGCAGCAAGCCTGAAATTGGTTAGAGACTGTTTATTTATTCATACCACAGGATGTAAACTAATATAGTTAAATTCCCCTGGGAAAATAAAACTGCCTTTTTTTTTCTTTCCCCTTAAGTTTAAAAATACATTCATCCCTCTTTTCCCTGTTGCATGAGGTTTAAAAGCTTTCATAGGACACAGGATGATGGGCTGCTCAATTATTGCATCCCTGAGCAACTGTTCCCATAAGGAGGAGCTGATCATGAGGAGTGCCTAGGGTTTTAAAAGTGAATAATCATGATTTTGGCCATCTAGACTATTAGACACCTTCCAGGGACATCTCGCAGTCTGCATTCAACAGCTAGTCTTAATCTTTACCACTGTCTTTAAAGATTTGCTAGGCAGTAGATGTGAATGCTATTCACCCAGCCGTACGGAAGGTTACCACTGTGCTCCAGGGCCAATTGAGATGTGTTTTAGGGGGAGTTAATTGCAGAATGAGTATTTGCTGTATTTACTTTTAGCTCAGGTTTTGCTTCCTTGGCTCCTGTTTGTAAGTGTTCATGGTTTCACTCTCCCAAAGCAAAAATAAAAGGCAAAACAAGAAAATATAGAATCGCTTGCTTAGAATAATCCAAATTCGGCTTTATATAACATACAAATACCTCAGGAGGAAAAAAACAAAAAGAACTTGCAGCTGAAAAACAAGATTTGCAAGGTCGTAGAGGATACACCGTGGTGCTGAGCATTCCTTCATTCCCAAGCAAAAGAAGAAGTAAAAAAGACATTTAATTGACCAAAGGCCTGATTGTCTTTTCAGACACCCTTCTTGATGTGGTTGGAGATTGGAACCCCTTTGGAAAGCAACTTGACGTTTCATAGCTTAGATATTTCCTCCATTGCTTTTGACTTTCAGGCCTCAGTTATTTCCACCAGGAGAGCGTTTGCCAAGCTGATGAAATTGGACCCAGAATGGATGTTATAAAATACAGGTAGCTCGGTCTGCCGTGCGTGATGCTGCCTCATGTGTTTTGCTCATTTTGCTTCTCGTGCCTGCCTTTAAAGGCTGCAGCATGGCAGGGGCTGCGCTCTGCAGGAACAGCAACGTTCATGCAGGGAAAGGTGCCTGATTTGTGCCTRTATATGTGTGTCCAGGTATTGCTTTTAGCTTGATTTGCAACCTGGAAAATTTCTTATAGTTTTTGCAGGGACAAATTATTCTTCCCCGTTGTGGAGAGAACGGAGAGAAACCTTTCTTATCCCTCCACAGGTTTTGATGGAAACTCTATTCCTGTGCCAAACAATCACTGAAAACACTGTTAAAGGACATTTATGAGGAAAATGTTGCAATTCTCTGGCGTTTTGTACCCTGTTTAACTATTTCATGGGGATAGAACCTGTGACCATTCGGTTTCCTGCAGCCATCCTGTGTTTTAAGGATGCTTCAAAAAATACCTCCTGAACCCCTCTCCTTCACCAGACTTTGCTGTCCTGCTTTCACAAGACAGATGCACTGATGCATCAGGAGCTGCTGGAGCACAGCAAGCAYGGACATTTGGCCCTAACAGTGATGCTTGAATAAACTGGTCCTAGGACTCTTTACTCCCAGCGAGGTTGAGCAAGGCTCTCATTTGGATGGAAACTCAAGGAAACTCAAGCCCTACCCTACCAGCACCTCCTGGAGCTGAAGGAGATGGCAGTTTCTGGTCCCTAAAACAGCAGAACTGTCCCCAATTCCCGTGGAAACACCATGATAATGCATACAGCAACAAGACCTCAACCAAATCCACGTTCAGGGCTAAGCACAGCCAAATCACTCTTCCAAGAGAAGCACGAAAAGGCAACCGATGAGCAATAATGCTGCAGTCGCTGCAGCCCTGCACATGGATTTGGCGCTAGTGCAGAGCGCTCTTCCCTTGGTCCACAGCTGGGTCATCTGCACTAATGAGAGGCAGATGCCCTGAAGCAGTGATGATTTGTTTAGAGGTGGTGGAGCTGTGGCTGAGATCAAAAGCCTGCAGAGCTGCAAGGTCTGTCATGTCTCCTGAGGGACGCGAGACCGGCCAAAGACACGAGGAAAAGTCATCGCCTGCCAACACTTGGAGCTCGAGGACGTTTCTGTAGGAAGTAACGCTGCTAAAACATCCTCTGCAGCATGTAAACAATTTTTCCCTATTCAGGATCGTCACAAATAAAGAAGGGAGCTGTGTAAACAGCTCTGAATCGCCCTTGCTTGTCTCTCGCTCCTGAGCCGCGGAGCAGAAAGCTCAGTTCGGGAGCCAGTACGTACTCAAACTTCCTTCTGATCTGTGATCCAGTACAAATACAAACTCAAATCATATTTCCACATAATCAATCCATGTTCTTAGAGAGGAAAAGAGTCCTTAACAGCTGACTAGGAGACCTTGGAGTATAATAGACCTCTCGAAATGCACAGGTGTGCCAAAACATTTCACCAACAGTGTGTGAGAAAGTGTTCACGCTGTTCCCAAACCATGGGAAAAACACATCCTGTTCCCATTTCTGAAATGTGCCAGTTATAAGCCTTGGGATTCTGCTTTGTCCRTGACTGTTTGTCGCTCCTTTGACCATCCCTATCTCAGGGACCGATGTTAAACTGCTGCTGCCCCCAAACAAGGAGCATCCATGGAGCTGGTRCAAGACCATCTCCCCCAGTCTTCTTTGCACAGTCCTCAGCAGAGCTGTGCATGCCTGTGTYGTCAGAGCCACACAGCAATGTGCTATCTATTTTGGGCTGCCTTCTATCAGGAAAAAATACTGAAGGAAAAGCTTTTCTAAAACTGTCAAGTTCTTCTTATTGTCTACTTCCCATTTGCATGATTTGTTGGGGAGGGTGTTTCCTACAGCAGTTCTGAAWGGCCAGAGAGTTACAAAATAAATTAAGATGGCTAGGTTATGGTTGGGAAATGAGAAAGACCAGAATAAACTCTGATGATAGGAAACTTGGATGTTGTGGTCGCATTTAAATGAACAACATAATAAGGGAAGCAGCGTAGTGACTACAGAGAAGAATGACAGATACTTATTGCTTAATCGTAGTGAAATGCTGCTGCATTTTTGGCTAACGTTAGCGAGTAGCTACAATTTCCATTTGAAACATGCTGGAGATAGAAGTAGCTTTTCTTTTAGTCAAGAAAAGGTCCGTGCAAATTCTTCATTAAAAATACCTTTTAAAATAACAACAGCTGGGAAGCAAAACATGTTTTTGTTTTCAGCTTTCCATTTAAAAAAATCACGTAATTTTGAAATTTCAGTCACGCCGTGTGATTTGCAGTTGGTGACTGTCCCTCCTTTCTCGGTGTAAAGAAGGCGAGACAGTAGCAGTGAGATTCCACTTCTGAATCATCCCCAGATATCTAGGACCTTTCTGATACTCCGATATGTACCATTTGTAATAGGTATAACATATTTAGAGCAAGAGAAGCTAAAGAGGGATGTGCATTTGAGTACACAGACGCATTCCCCATCTCATTTTAAGAAAAGCAACTCATTAAGAGCTTCCAACTCCTGAATTTTCCCACAGAAGATGTACCAGAAGTGTCTTAAATTCACAGAGATGGGAAAGGCAGTGTAGCGAATAAAAATTATGTTGGAATATGAGTCTTTTTTGTAGTAGCTGTGGGTGTGCTCAGCTACTCCCGTGGTTAGTGGCATTACTTACAGCTGATTTAAGCTATGTTTTTATATTACAGTAGTGTTTTCCAGACACACTGTTTTCCATTCCAAAACAGCAATTATTTTACTATTGATTGTCCATTTCCAGTGATCTAATTGGAAATGCCTAATGATACGGCAGCCTGCGTTTTCAAAAATTACTAATTTTGGTCATCACAGTTTGCAGACAACTGGCGCAGAGTCTGCCGCAGAGCCAGATGTTTCCAGAGCCCTGATCTCCTGTTCTCTGAAAACCAGTTTTATCTCTCTTTTTTTTTTTTTAGAATTTCCTAAGAGAGGCAACTAGAAATTGTGGTCAGCATCATTGCAGGGGATGTTTGAAAATCTAGGCTGGCATGGGGAGGTGTTAAGGCACTTTGGGGTGCTCTTAAGCTTGCAGTAGGATTGACTAAATGGGCTCAGCAAGGTGAGCACCAGCCTCTCCTTGTCTTCCYTCTCTGAATAATCCGGAGGAGGAGGAGGAGAAGGAGAGAGGAAGGACTAACCTCTATCCCAATGCAGTTCATAATGTTTCTCACATGTCCATGCAATGCAAACACTGCAGACAGACCAGTCCAGGCATCAAGGGCAGTGGGAACAGCGATTACGCTGGTGGGCAGGAGTGAGGCCAGCTGCACAACACACCTTTCAAGAGCAAAAGCCTCTTGAAAAAAAAGTATGTTTTTTATCTATTTATTTATTTTTGCATTAGGGGAGGCTGAGTGAGAGCAGCAACATTTGTGTTTTGTTTTGTTTTGAGCCGATGGAAGTTAATGTTTATAGCAGCCTCGGAGCTGGAAAACCAGCTTAAGAAACGCTTAATGTTTAGATCTACTTAGTGGTTGGAAAAAACAACTTTTGTAATGCTCCAGCAAGTGGAAACAGCCACCTCTTGTAAACAAACCTTTAGCATTAAGATATTTCTTAGCAGCGGAAAACCTTAACTGCATGGAGACGTATTTCTGAGACATTTCAAACTGATCACAGGCTGGAGGCATAACCACGCTCTGTCAGCAGAGACGTCAATGATCAATGGAGATGAAAGGAGAAATAGTTTCCATACAGGAGACTTGCTGAATGTTTGTTTCTCCGTAATTTACTGTATTACACACATAATTCATCCCCATATCAGGATCCAGCTCCACAGCACGTTACTCGCGTTCTGGATTTCGGGTCAGTGAAGTTAAACCAACACAAACAGCAACAGGTCGGGCACAGGGATAAAAAGTACTCCCTGTTTGCTGTGCGTACGGTAAAATTTCCCAGCTGGAGCAGGCTCTTGCCAGAGGTTTTCGTGGTGACCTTGAAAGAACAGTGAGACAACCTACTTGGCCARTATTTTGCCTGCAAAAGCAACCCAAACTCATGTCAGCCCCAACCTGGTGCCATGCGCTGTCATTGCTCACCCAGCCCCGGGGGAAGSAATGTCCTAGGGGATGGATTTGCAGGAGCCGCATTGGGAGTCTGGTACTCCCAGGGGAGCATCACTGCTGGGGCATCACCCCCTCGGCCAAGCACAGAGGAGCATCCCGGGGAGGTGGACGTCCTGGTGCATCCTCGGGAGCGAGCGGAGCGGTGCCTGCTCTTTTCAGCGGGCACCCTGGGGGCAGCTGGAAACCCCYGTGCCACAAGCACGGGCGCGCGCCGCGGCCTCGGGCTCAGCCGCTCGCCGCGGGTTAGGTAATTTCCTCACATAAATCTCTTTTCAAGAAGAGTTTTAAGCAGACTATAACTCACACCAGACTTCTCTCCTCTGAATTTGATCCTGAGGAAATACCTGATAATAAACAAATACCTTGCTGGGATCCTTAGCCTTGCCAGAAATGACAGTTGATTTAAAAATCCCCCCCTTTTTTTTTTTTTCCCTTCTGTTTTCTTACTTTACTCTTTTTTTGGGTTTTAAAAAAATCAAGTTAAATTGTAACCATACAGGGCTAGGAAGGTGTTGCAAAGCAAACAAGCCATAGCAGGGTTTAGCATCCGCAGATGGATCACATTTCATTGCCGCATGTCCGCGCTTCCAAAACACCTCCAGCAGGACTCGAGGCTCTACCTAATTTAAGATTTCCATTTGGTTTTGGACCAGGATTCATTCATTCACAGTGACCATATGAAAGAGAGTGAGACTCACTGAGTGGCCGCCCTGGATCCTCAGGAAGGGACAGTACCTGAAAAAGCCCAGTGATGTACAGGGCTGTCCGCAGCGTTTGGTGATGGCCAAGATTCATTTCCAGCTAAGTCAATGAAAAAAACAACGGGTTGCAATGGACAGCCCAAACCACCTCTCTTTATGTTTCCACACTTCCTTTTCTTTCCTTACAACCATGGGATGATTAATCTCGAAACCACCAGAGCTGAGCTTTGCTMACCCAGGGCCGGTGCAGCCTCCGCGCAGAGAGGAACTGTGTCGCTCCCCATGATCCCGGGTTTTGCAAGGAGGGATAGGAAATGCATGTGTGAGCCCACCCAGGGCCTGGAGCTCTCCATCTGATTTTCTAAGAAAACACAACTAAAAAGCGCATGCAGGATACACAATTTTTGCATTCACATCAACTGGGCTGACGGCTGTCCAAGGCAGCATCCTCGCTGCGTGATTTCACTTTGTTTCCCCAAATTCCGGTGGTGGTATCCCATGGGAAAGCTTGAATCCCCTGCTGCACATCAGGGTCCGTGCACTGACTGTGYTCTTATGAGGGATTAAATTCTTATTAGCCCCGTTTTTCCTGTTGTTGTTTGTGGTGTTGTTAGAGTTCACAAATTCTCAGAATTTGAGACTAAATAAACATCGAATTATTTCCATAACAGCCCAATTCAGTGAAAGTCTGTTTATATTTTTAGCCTGGCAGGGAGCAGCTGAGGAGAAAAATGCAACGTGCAATGGATTAGCCCCATGTCCGAGGCCTCGTTGTCATTAACGTGCTTCAAGCGGGCAGAAAGGAGCGTTAGCAGAGCTATTAAGACTTAAGGAAATCGTAACTTCTGTACCTAGAATCAGTCCCCACGGACCTGCATATATCCCTCAATTCTGAGGAATTCAGACCTGATTCTRTTTAAATCCATTTTCCCTTGTAGTCCTCTGTGCACAAGTCTGGAAAGACACTCTCATTTACACCTTTTTTACTCTTCAGGTAGTCAAGAAAACCTTTTTACATGTAAACCTAAACTGTGTTTCTTGGATTGAGCCATTGTTGTTTGACTTGTCTGTGCTAAAAAGAAAAAAAAAAAAAGAAAAAAATTTACAACTACTTAACTTCAAACAGTATGTATTTATTTAAGAGGTTTGGGAGACATTATGTAAAATTAAAAGAAGGATCATTTAGAAGAAGCCCAGTAATGTAAGCCCTCATTTGGGTCTGTGTCTCAAATTATATCTATTGGATTCTGACGTTTTGCCCAAGCTTCAGTGGAAGTATTTTTTTTTTCCATTTAAAACGCAAATTTCTTTCATTGAAGGCAACCAAAACCTGTTTTTCTTTCTCCCTTTTAATCCAGCTACGTCCACCAGCTTCATTACTTGATTTCCATTCCCTCTTAATCTAGTTTTATGCTTTCTCTCAATAGCCAGGGTATATATATATATGTTTATATGTATATAAAAGCAATTAATAGAGCTTTTCGAGTGGATACAG